TTAATAAATTTATCATATATTACATGTTGTATTATAACAAGTGTAAACGTCAGCTATAAAGCCAACTTGCGAAATAAGTTAACCTGGACGGGAGGACGGACGGACAGTGTGATTACTATATGCCACCCTTTGAGGGCATAAAAAAGATATATACAAGTCTCACAACAAAGATTTAAAATAAGAGCACTGCTTGCATAACCCATGCTTGTCTGTCATGGGCCTTCATTCCACTTCAAATTTTTTTAGATGAACATTGGTACTATTTCAAAAATATAGCTTTAAGATTTATGCCCTTTTCTTGCACTTGCACCTGATGAGCAAGTATTTCAAGTTGGGTGGTTAATATGTTTAATACTCTTTGGTGAATAATGGGGTATGTTTTTGCACAACAGCAATGACGAAGAGGATTTAGTGATCACAATAGCTTGATTTTGTCGAGGAAAAAAAAGCTAACAAGCATAACTTAAACAACAACCCAAAGTCAAGTCAGCTTGCAAAGGGTAGCTTCCATATTTCTTGAACAGTCAAACTTAAAATTCTACATACTGGTTCTTTACAAGATTGACAAAATATGTACTAACACTGATATTTTTACCTTTGAATGAATTCTAATGTGGCCACTGCTTCATTAGGGTACTGGATGTTGAAAACGTAGAAACTACCAAATAGAAGAGAAAGTGCACACAAGAAACTGTTATAGCGCCCTATGGCCTCTCCATCAACAACTAATATGTACTCCTTGGCTGCTAAAATGCTTGCTCCTGAAAACCAAATTACAGCAGTAACATCTACTGGTCAATGAGCATTGTCAGGGCATATTCTCCCTATATAATAGGGATGAAATATAGGCCCCTTCAAAAATCATTTTTTCCTAATCAATGTACAATTCTGTTTAGAAAAAAATATGCATGACATAGTGACAAGCAGGTATATTTCACTGTAAATGCAAAAGATGTAATACTACAATTTTAACTGTTTTCTTTATGTACATTAAACATCATTTATAATATCATAAAAACCTGTTTTCTTTGTGTATTTACAATATCATAAAAACCTATTTTCTTTGTGTACATTAAACATAATTTATAATATCATAAAAACAGGTATATCTTATTTTCAAGTTTATCTGATTTAGACAGAATGGACAATAATTGTAATGTTTGGCTCTAAGATATCTATAAAATCATGAAGCACTTACCCAGCATAGCTAATCTTGGCCAAGATTTTCCACTACAAGCATTTTCTACTTCTTCATTTGATGACATCTCCTGATAATTTATGACAATATAATCATGTTTACCTTATTCTTTCAGCAACAGATTGAAAAGAATTCAATGTAAAATATAATATAACATAATAATTTTGGACATCATACCTTCAAAGATAAATTAACAAATGATTAAGATAATCATGACATCATTCAGAACACATAAATTAAAATATTCATTTGGTGCTAATTTTGTTTATGTAATTAATGAACAAGAGCTGTCAGAGGCAATCATTTTTTTAACACTATTCTTATTATTCAAAAGCACTTTTATTGAAGTGAAAATGAAATTCTTCAAGACATTTAGCACTTGCTTTTTAGTTGGGATGTAGTCCCAACATGAGTACTTATTTATAAAAATGTACAGTCCTTTATCAATACAAAACTATGAATGCTTTATTAACATTTCAATTATCACATATATAAAATAACTTACTCTGACAGCAGGTTGAGTTTTTGTTTTGTAAACTTGTTTTAATTAATCTTTGAAGTGATTATTTCTTGCATAAATATTGACAGTTTACAAGATAATAAAACAATACTTTCTCTTTTTCAAATAAGATGCTATTTGCATTACTATTTGCAAAACTTTTCATTTAATGCACAAATTTAGTAAAAAAAATAGTTAACTGAACTACTTTTAAGCCTTATTAACACTGTATCTGATCTATCCACTATTTTATGAACAGAAAATAACTTTAATCATTACTTAATAAAAGCTCTGTGTAAAGACAGATACTTACATCTACAACAACAAACAGACTATCATCTTTCTCGCCAAGGCTACTTTGAAGACACAAGATGACCAGGGGCAAAATGGCAGTTAAATTATTATCTTCTTTTTCCTTCTCAGCTGCAGTTAGGTATGGTTCTACAAAAGGTGTTCTGCTCCTAAAGAACCTCAGCATCCTAGAAGCTTTTTTTTCAAATGAGTTTTTCACAGCCTGTAGTAAATCTATTCCTGTAAGTTCCTTACAATGAGTGAATAATACATGTTGGTCAACAAGGAAAGGCCATTCTTCACGAAGATGCTTGACGGATTCTCCACTGTTAATATGCCTTCTCTGCAAAGCATATGTTGCTTCCATTCCTTTATATACAAGATTCCAGTCAGGTTCTGATCCATAGTGTTCTTTGAGCTCTTCTCTTATCTTTTCTTGTTCACTCTCTTCATCACTAGACATTGATGGAGCCCAACTGATGCAACCATAGCTATCATGTACTACTTTCCTCTTTTTTGGTTCAGTCTTTTGCTGGCCAGTTTCACTACCTCTGACAAAATTACTGTGAGGACTTTTACCACGATTTAAGTTTTCATTTCTTGAAATAAATTGTTTCAAAAGAGAATCATACCCAGTTCCAATTCTTATTTTATCAATGCGATCTTCAAATGTATTGGGATAAGTAAAAACAATGTTTTTTGCAATTTCCTCGAACTGCTTTTTTGTACAATTAAAAGAGATCTTCCTAATGTGGTCGACGACCTCTCTTACAAACTGTCTTCTATTGTCTGCCTGTAATCTGTTATTGTTTTGAAGACTATCTTGCAGCTCTGGCATTTTTTTCAACACATCTTCTAGACAGAACAATCTGGAATGGCTTTGAAACTGTGGTACAGGAGACTGTGCTACATGAGACTGTGATATAGGAGACTGTGGTACAGGAGACTGTGGTACATGAGACTGTGATATAGGAGACTGTGGTACAGGAGACTGTGCTACATGAGACTGTGATATAGGAGACTGTGGTACAGGAGACTGTGGTACATGAGACTGTGATATAGGAGACTGTGGTACAGGGCACTCTGTTACAGAGCTGACTGAAGTACTTGGTTTTGAGTCTGCCAAATGAAGTAAATCAAATTACGTAAATTATAAAATACAATTCCAATGACCACATAATTGATAAATTCTTATTCTTATAAATAAATGCACTCATATCAGGGCTCACACTGGCTCATAAAAAATAATAGCCAATACTTAATACTTTTAAAAATAATAGCCAACAGTTCAGCCGTCTATTCACGATTAAGCGACTAACAACATAAGCAGTTGATTAAATAAACCTTGCACATAAACTTTTTGCAGTTTTATAAGGATTTTCGAATAAACTTATACATAATTTTGTGTACATATATACTGATAACTACTTTTTTCTTACATAGAACAGGTCTTTCAAATTCAATTTCAATGACCCTGCATAGAACCACAACTTTAATTCTTATTAAATAAAAAGATTGAACTATTATATCCTGCAATTACTATATAAAAATAATATTATAGATTCAATGCTTGAATTGCATTTTTATCACCATGGGCCGGCAAATACTAATAACCAATATGTGACCTAAATTAAATCCACACTCAATTTAATCCACCCTGCTGGTGTTAACTGATTCTACTTAGTACTGTATTTTTATTGGTTTTTACACCTTAAATAAACACTGTTGGAAGTAAAAAATAATCAACAATTTTTGTAGCTAAAATGCAAAATAATTGCAAATCTTATAAAATCATCGCAAATGGCAATCATGGCAAATGACAGCTTGAGCCCTGTATATGATATAATACAATGGTAATGATATACATTCAGGGATGGTGTAATCGTAATCAGTAATGATAATCTATAGTATTTAAATACATTTTTTCAAGTATTCGACTGTACAAATGTACAAAGTTGATTACTGAAGTCAATTTCGATTACTGTGATCGTAACTTAATTGACTACTGATCAAATTTTAGTTGTAATCTTTAATATCATCAATAAAATATGTTTAAGGACAATTTTAACAAATTCATCCAACATGTCAGTTATGTCATAATAGAGCTGTCATCGATCAGAACAATATAGATGTTTCATAGATATTTTAATTCCGACCAATAATCGATACACAATTTAAAAACTGACAATTTTGGCAAATTATTAAAACTTTAAAATTGTCAAAATTTGCTGGACAATATAAAATATAAAATTCATAACTAAATGGTCTTCATAGTAGTGCAGTATAGTACTTATGGTCTTCATAGTACTGTAGTGAATGTATCAATATATATAGATGTATTGTCAATATTTTTTGTCTTGATTTATCAATAGTAACAATACGCTTCAAGTCCTATCAATGACAGCTCTAGTCATAAGTGTTACTTGGACCAAGTAAATGATAAATCTGTCAAATGAAAAAGTTATGACAATCAAAGCAAAAGTGACACAATATATCAAAATTTAATTTATACAACTCCTTACCTTCAAGATGAACATTGTACAGAAATTTCCTTGTTTGTACTGGTTTTAAAACACCACTTAAATCTGACTCCTGAAGGAACTTTAGGTCCTCAATAGTTTCAACACCAAGTTGTTCTAATTTTTGCACAACAGAATTATTATCCACATCTGGCAGTGTTTTTTCAATAAAAGTTTTCAATGGAGTTGATTCATTCAAAGACATTGTTAATTATGCCAACTTTTCAGTGTCACAAAATTACTGTTACGAATTTCATAAACTGGAACCGGCATATGACATTTGAGGCTTAACACACTGACACATGTATAATTTGTAGAGCAAGAATCCTGCTGATAAACTCCCAATTCACTAACAAACTTGTATAAACTATCTAAAACAATAAAAAAAAGTCCACCATCTTTCACCAATATCAGTTCTATTTTGCCTATATTAAGCTCAATAGCTTCATCCCCAGAAATAACTAAACAACATCCAACCTTATACTCAGTATTCTTGAAAATGGCTGACAAGCAAACTTCAGTATTATTGTCAAATAAATTATCTTTGTCAAGAACTTGCTGTATTTGCTCATTGTAAATGGAACGGTGCAAGGGACTTCTTTTCTGATAAATAAGACTTTTTCTAAACAGGGAACCACTAGTGTAATACGCCTGAAGCATCTGATGCCTACCTGCAAGAGTTTTTGCCAAATGTTTATAATTATGAAGCTGTCTAGCACATCTTTTAAAGTAAGTGTGCTTACTTTCAAATCGCATTGTCCACAAATGTATTAATGGACCAAATGCAATGGTCAGTTCTGGATAATGTAACAGGAAGTGGTGCTTAGGTTTAAGTGGTTTATCAGGAAAAAGTTTTTGTCTGTCAAAAAGATATTCTTCTATGCAAACATTTACAAATGCAATCTGATCAACAGAAAGAGAGGCTGAAGTGAGTATTTCTACAATAGATTTTAAATTCAGGTACATCTGCCAAACTCTATCAAAAGGATCTTTCACAAAGTTTCCAACAATTAATGAAAACAACCTTAAAAACACCCAGTTTTGTACAGCATGTCCACCAAGTTTTTCTGAGTTACTAATAAATGGTGCTGGTATATCTAACTTATCTACACCTGCATAAGGCCAGCTGCTTATCCTATGATTTAACTGCTCTAAAGTAAACCACTTTGCTTGCAATAAATATCTAATAATAAGAACCATGTCATAGCTCACAACCCCTTCAAATAAGTCATGACCCAAACATGGAGGTAAGCCTGGAGATGCTACATGATAAAATTGGAGGGTGTTAAAAGGTGAACCTCTTTTAATACCCTTAAAAGACTCACTTTCACCAACTAAATTTACAGAGCTGTTGTACCTGATAATGTTTCTAGGACAAGCCCTTGCATTCAACTGCATATCTGTCCTACTTATTTCACAGTATCTACAGAAGTAGTGAGCAGAAAAACTTTCAACATAACCTCCTATCATATGTGAGCCCAAATTATCTCCACATATACATAATAAACTTCCTTTAATAAGTTCACCATTTACTGCTATCCCATCTTTTTCTGAAACTTTTAAATCATGGATAAGCCTTTCAAACACAATGTTAATTGAGAAATTTCTCCAATCATGTTCAGGACATAACAATACTAATTGCATATGATCTATGTTTGAACGTTTTTCTACATCAAAATTTGCAAGTGTATAATACACACCAACCATTTTATGCTTTTTCTTAGCCGAACCTAAAGGAGTAACAACCTCAAAGGCATCTTGGTATAAAATGATTGAAACAGATTTTGTATCACTGAAAATAGAATTTTCTTTAAACACGTTACCATCATACACATCATGTAGAGTATCACTCCTGTTTGTACATGTAGCACAATTGAAGAACTTAAAATGAGATGCATAATGTTGATAAAGACATGCTATAGACTGAGTAATAGGGACATATTGGTATGTTCTTTTTTTCTGTAGCCTGTCAAATCCAATAAATACTTCAACAGAGTTACAATAAGCAAAATACTTGTGGTAAAAAGTAGAGCGTTTGGCTGCCGATCTTAAGGGCCCATTATTGCAGTTTGTAAACATGTCATAAGAATAAATTTCAGCTTTTATTTCAGAAACAATTGCAGGAGATACCCCTAGTATTTCCATTTTTCTACTAAGTCGCTTAAACAACATTGACTGACTTGTTTCATGACATTCTTCAAATTCTGATATGATATTTTGAATTGTTGAAACAGGCAACAAATATTTTCCCTGCAGTTTAAGATAAAACAGTGCTAATTGATACAAAAACTGTTGTTCATTTTCTACTGTGGCATCATACTCAAAATGATCAAAATTATCTTCAACTGGTACAGGCACCTGTGGAAATTCAGATAATTCATCAGTTTGTATTGAAACAGCATGGAATTCATTTGAAGATGTGAATGATATGTCACTTACAGCTTTATGTTTTCTTGACATGTGAGCAGTAAATGATGATTTTACTTTAAACTTAGAAGGACAATCATTAAAGGGGCACACAATTTCTTCTTTTTTGGTTAAGTGGTGTTTTATGTGCTTCTTCAATTGCTTGAAAGAATTAAAACTGATAGCACTACATTCTACTCTGGAACAAAGTTGGGAAACATTCTGATTCAATGTCACTGCCCTACTGATACCTTGAGGAATGTTTGTATGAACTCTAGATATATGTACCTTTATTGATGCAAAACTGTTGAAATTAAGTGAGCATCCAGTAATGGGACAATCAAATGCTACATTTGGCTCATTTCGGTGGAATTTACAATGTAATAAAAATTTGGGAACCGACTCATTTTCACGGCCACAAATATTGCACTTAAACACCCCTTCAAGCATAATCCTAAATAAAAACTCGAAAGTTGTTAGCAACTTGTAAATTCACCACCACTACATGTTTTCATGAAACTAGTACATGGTCTTTTTTATATGATTTTGTTTTGTTTTTTTTTATAATATCCAAACATGAAACTTGCATCAAAATGAACTAATAAAAATTAACTTTGCTTTATAGATCTTAAATATATTGACAGTATCACTAAAAGAACTTATCAAGAAATTACAAGTTCATCACAAAAAATATTAATGGTACATATAACTTTTGAACTTCTTCCCTGGATGCATAAACTTGGAATTAATGATAGCATCATCTTAGATAACAAGAAAAAAAAATGTTAACCATATCGTACCACGACATGCTAGGCATCACAAATGGCATAATTTTTAACTCTTTTGAAATTTACAAGCTGCGAATTATATTGACAACAAATATCGTTCGAGGGAAAAAGAACAAAGAAGTCCAACAAATAATTCGTCTCTGCTAAATGCTGTATTGGTCGAAAGATGGTGGGTGGGGTACGTACATAAGGGGTAAAACATGTCTTACAAAAAATCCTAATTAGTACAAGAATTTGCTCGTTTTTCGTTGTATACTAGTTTCCATGTGTCACTTTTCTATAGATGAGGTATGAGACCACTAAAATCTCTTCCGACAACAACAACAATGGCGACCAATGCGGCCAGTCGGGTGTAGTAGAGTTGTTAGAATCTACTCTTGAGATTATTAAAACACGCGAAAACGAGACAGTCTCTTGATTTTGTGTTTATACATCGACCAAAAGGTTTGGTAATACAAGTGAGTACCGATAAGGTGTTGGTTTAAAAAATCTGGCACTTTTACAGATCTAACTCAGGCACAGGAACTTGATGATATCCAAAATATATCCCCTATACAGTATTTATTTTGACTGTATAGGAGATATATTTTGGAAATTATCATTAATATTGATAGAATTTCAAGTTCCTGTGGCTCAGGTCAAGATAATTGTAAAGATGTTGTTTATAAAATTGTCATAGAGGATAGATCTGGAATTTTATTAAAGTACAAGTATATCTATTTACATTATTCGGCAATCTATTGGATAAGACCCCTATGTATATTTCAGGAGTAAAACTTGTATATAATACTCTAAAGAATATTGGTCTTACTAAACACTGCTAAGGACTGCTAAAGCTACAGTCTCACTAACATCCTGGCAGAGCCCCGGTAGACGTCCAGGGTGATCCGGGAACAACGGGGGTACATCCGTAACTCTGCCAGCAACGTCCTGGATGATCCGGAAACATCCGGCATTCGACCCCGGATGGAATAAAATATTTAATATCACCGGGGTGGTCCAGGATGATCTGGGAAGGTATAGCTTTGCCGGCTTCATCCTTAGCGCTTCCCGGAACGACCGGGGCTATACCGGGTAAGCACCGTAGCTCTGCCGACACAAACCGGGGATGATCCGGGGTATGATAAAGCATATATGTTTCTGTTAAAACAGAATGAGTAGAGCTGTACACCACTTGAGTCTCAGCATGTGTTTATCGCCTTTTTCAGACAATGCTGTGACAAGCTTATCACTTTTATGATGACACCCTTGTTGTCCAGGAAAATAATGATAGATATTGCAGATGCTGCAGGTGTCCTATTTTCTTCGTAGTCATTCATATTTATTATAATATTTAATAATTTTCAATAGTATTTCGAAGGTGATTATCATCTTTTTTTCTAAACAAATAGTTGTCTTATTTATTTGTAACAATGTTGGTATTTAACTTTAACAGGACATCCAATTAAAAAGAACTGGTAAGTTGTTGTTTAGTGGGTATAGCAATTTCTCTGTCACTGATGTGTATAAGATATACTAATATACTAATATTTTAAACCTAAAAATACATCTCATCTCGATAATGTAAAAATAAATCTATATATTGTGTGGTATGGTCTTTGTATCTAAGTTGTATTGTATTCATATGTATCTGATATAGATCAGAATAGAACAAAGAAATTAAAAAAAAAAATTTTTACTTGGACATTTTATAATATTTCTCAGATTTGTTTTAGGTATCCAAACGTATCAAACTCAAATCGAAGTAAGTACATGTAACCTAACTCAAGCGCTAGCATACTGCTAACTTAAATATGAGTTTATGATATTATTATTATTATTATTATTATTATTATTATTATTATTATTATTATTATTATTCAGACAAATACCTTCTGACGGAAGTAATATTAATACATTTAAATCACATATTGTTGGTTATTCTGCGGTACTGAAATCAAACTAAAAAGGTGAAAATCGAGTGTAAAAAATGTTGGGAAAAAAACCTTTTGAATGGTGAAAAATCATATTTTTACAATGCATTGCAGTTATATGTTTTTTTCCAAAAAGCGTTCCTCGCAAACAGTACTGGGTGAGGAAATTAAAATGGCAAATTTCGTTTACTGTCCAACAGTGTATTTTTTCCCGTCCTTTTAAATCACTAAATCAAGTCTATATTTCAAGGATTTATTACTAATATGCAGTATCAATGTTATCATGGATGTATAAATATATACTGCAAAAACGTTGTTGAAGGTTGGTAAACATTCGTATCGTCTTACGAATCTTAAAGTTTACTAAAGGTTGTATACAAACCCGTCATACAATTTATTAGGTGTTCTCAATTTTGCCAAAAAAAAAAAAATAAAAAAAAATAAAGCGGAGATAGAAGTTTGCAATTTTAATTTTAGATGAAATTTTGTATCGAAGTAATTTCTTTATTATGACTTTTGATATCGTGATGATGTACACCTCATTTAATTCAAACATGTAAATATAAAATAAGGTTGAGATACAAGTGGGAATGGTAGGGGAAGAAGTAAGGTCTTATTTATCAGGAAGATAAAGAAGAACAAGTTATACATGTATATAAAATGATTGTGATTTCGGAAATACGTTTAATAAATTGATTATTTTTCCACGTAGACAAAAATATGAAAAGTAAAACTGGAGCCAGTTACAAATATGCCAGGTATAAAAAAAGAGACTGAAATAAATATCTGAAAATCGGCAACAATTTTCATCAGGTAATTATTTGTACTTGTGGTATCTAAACTCATAAGGATATGTATGAGTTAATACTTAACTTAAATAACAACTACCAGTATCTATAGTGGGGCAATATTGACCCGAGACATTTGATTTGTCAATGACCTTTTGTCGCTTATTATCGGACCCGGAATTCAATTGTACAGATTTTATAGCATAGCATTATGTTTAACATATCTAGTTCATGTATAACTTAAAGTTGATATCACAACTCTTGCCATAATAGCCTCAGTGGCAATGATTGAAGACTTTCAGTTTCAAATTGAATATATAAGAGGTTCGAAACTAAGAATGATTTCAAAGTTATGAGATTTAAAGAAAAACACAGGAAAAAAGTCAAATGATATTTTTTTCCAATAATGCTGATTTCAACTAAAAGATAATAGTGACACACTTACAAGGATAGTTTATTAAGGATTCAAGTTTGTATCTTTGCGATAGCAATGCTATCCTGTTTGCCATCAGGCAAACTGGTCGTAATATTGCAAATGAAAGTATCGAGAACTTTACTATCACTAATAGTAATTGATAAATCGTAAAGAATGACGTAAACCAATAAAAACCTCCCGAAGATAAATCAGTGCCAGGTCAATATTGCCAAACAATACAAACTTTTTGTTTGCATGTTTATACCGTATTCGTACCTTGGAGACTTTGATGTCATAATCTGAAAATTAACGGTAAGGGTCGAAAAGTTGCGATGTACAGTAAGTGACCTCATATGTAGTTTGTCAACAGGTGGCATTATTTTATTATTCAATGCTTTTAAATTGGTCAATACACTCTACGAATTCAAGCCTATGAGAACAATAAATCAAAGGACTATGCTATTGACACTAATTGTGTGCAAGACTGAAAACCAATTGAATAGATAACTTAAGACTACCATAAAGTATTTCTTACAATTGTTTTAAAATGAAATGCTTAATATTCCTTACTTTAGATGATAAAGATATTTGACACTGTGTATCTTGTGATTCTTCAGGAAAATAAATAGAAAATATCATGCACCCAAAATAAAAAAGACCCATCTAAGGGTCACTTTAAGTAAGCTTACGCAGGCCTACTGTTTAAACTTGTATCCTTTCAACTTCCTTCAAACATTATGAGCGGTACAAATAATAGTATTAAAAGGAAAAACGGTTATTACTTTACAATATTGCACACATACATCTATATATTTTTAGTTATGCTCTGAGTAGTATGTGTCGATCGGCAATAGGGTCGTGCTGATTTAACTGGATACTCTCGTCTAGTATATTCAGAGGTAAATTTTGTGTTATTTTCAATTTTAGACTTACTTTTCTAATTGATTTCGGGTGCCAGTTGATTTAAAGTTAATGACGGTCGTTATCAAATCTCCTATAAGTCCTAATTGTTTTTGTTTTATTACTCGTGAAGTACATTAGAAAGCACTTTGAATATTTAAGCTTGAATTGGGGAAAATTGAAAGTAATGATAAGTATATTTTTAAGATATATATACGTGGATGTTTGTCTGCTTAATGTCGAAATAAGT